ACACAAATATGAAGGAAATATGCCCTAGAGGCAATAATAAAGTTATTATTTATTTCCTTATATCATGATAAATGTTTATTATTCATGCTAGAATTGTATTAACTGGAAACATAATACATGTGTGAATACATAGACAAACAGAGTGTCACTAGTATGCCTCTACTTGACTAGCTCGTTAATCAAAGATGGTTATGTTTCCTAACCATGAACAAGGAGTTGTTATTTGATTAATGGGATCACATCATTAAGTGAATGATCTGATTGACATGACCCATTTCATTAGCTTAGCACCCGATCGTTTAGTATGTTGCTATTGCTTTCTTCATGACTTATACATGTTCCTATAACTATGAGATTATGCAACTCCCGTTTGCTGGAGGAACACTTTGTGTGCTACCAAACGTCACAACGTAACTGGGTGATTATAAAGGAGCTCTACAGGTGTCTCCAAAGGTACATGTTGGGTTGGCGTATTTCAAGATTAGGATTTGTCACTCCGATTGTCGGAGAGGTATCTCTGGGCCCTCTCGGTAATACACATCACTTAAGCCTTGCAAGCATTGCAACTAATGAGTTAGTTGCGGGATGATGTATTACAGAACGAGTAAAGAGACTTGCCGGTAATGAGATTGAACTAGGTATTGGAATACCGACGATCGAATCTCGGGCAAGTAACATACCGATGACAAAGGGAACAACGTATGTTGTTATGCGGTCTGAATGATAAAGATCTTCGTAGAATATGTAGGAGCCAATATGGGCATCTAGGTCCCGCTATTGGTTATTGACCGGAGACATGTCTCGGTCATGTCTACATTGTTCTCGAACCCGTAGGGTCCGCACGCTTAAGGTTACGATGACAGTTATATTATGAGTTTATGCATTTTGATGTACCGAAGTTTGTTCGGAGTCCCGGATGTGATCACGGACATGACGAGGAGTCTCGAAATGGTCGAGACATAAAGATTGATATATTGGAAGCCTATGTTTGGATATCAGAAGTGTTCCGGGTGAAATCGGGATTTTACCGGAGTACCGGGAGGTTACCGGAACCCCCCGGGAGCTACATGGGCCTTAATGGGCCTTAGTGGAAGAAGAGGAGAGGCAGCCAGGGCCGGGCCGCGCGCCCCTCCCCCCTAGTCCGAATAGGACAAGGAGAGAGGGGGCCGACGCCCCTTCCTTCTCTCTCTCTCTTTTCCCACCTCCGCGAGTCCTATTCCAACTAGGATTGGGGGGGGGATCCTACTCCCAGAGGGAGTAGGACTCTCCTGGCGCGCCTCTCCTAGGCCGGCCGCACCCCCCCCCTTTAGTCCTTTATATACGGAGGCAGGGCACCCCAGAAACACACAAGTTGATCCACGTGATCTTATTCTTAGCCGTGTGCGGCACCCCCAGCCACCATAGTCCTCGATAATATTGTAGCGGTGCTTAGGCGAAGCCCTACAGCAGTAGTACATCAAGATTGTCACCACGCCGTCGTGCTGACGGAACTCTTCCCCGACACTTTGCTGGATTGGAGTCCGGGGATCGTCATCGAGCTGAACGTGTGCTAAAACTCGGAGGTGCCGTAGTTTCGGTGCTTGATCGGTCGGGCCGTGAAGACATACGACTACATCAACCAAACGCTTCCGTTGTCGATCTACAAGGGTACGTAGATCACACTCTCCCCTCATTACTATGCATCACATGATCTTGCATGTGCGTAGGAATTTTTTTGAAATTACTACGTTCCCCAACAAAATATCCATCACCGATCTAGTGCCTATGCTTTTCATATATTGATCTTTGCTAAGTTACTTTCGCTGCTGCCACTGTTACAATCACTACAAAAACTGCTACTATTACTGTTACGGTTACTACTGCTATCAAACTATCATACTACTGATCATCTTGGTGCGGATATTTAGTTCTCTAGATGTGGTTGAATTGAAAACTCAACTGCTAATACGCATAAATATTCTTTGGCCACCCCTTTGTTGAATCAATAAATTTGGTTTAAATAATCTACCATCTAAAACTGTTGCGATCCCTTATACTTGTGGGTTATCAGTTCAGATTCTGTATTTCTATCTAGATCTTCCCTTGTTAGTTGTGTCTTCAGGTCTTTCTACACTACTGCCAAGTTGTGCTATAAATCTCCTCCGGTCGTAGCGGTGCCCAAGCCTAAACCCCTTCGCCCTCACCCTCCTATGACCCACAACTACTCCCTTCGTAACCTAGGACGTGACATCAGTGGCAGAGCTTGAGGCCCATTGTTGGGCGGGCTGGGCAGGCCTAATAGAACTGATGTTAAAAGGCCTATGAGTAAAAAAAATAGTGTATAAATGTCAAAATGATGGGTGGGCCATGGCCCATTCGGCCTTGTTGAAGCTCTGCCAATGTGTGACAGACGATACTACTCCATGTAGAAAAATAATCAAACATTTCCTAGTTGGAAATACCTGGATATTTTTATTTACTATACTATGACCTAGGGAGTTTTAGTCATCAATGAATCATAAGTGCTGAGGGATATTCTCAACAACAAGTTTGACTAAAAATACCATTACATTATTAGGATGCACAAGTCCAATTTCCTGCAAGATCAATGTCGTGTGCACGAACCGATTGTAACAAATGCTTTTGGTGGGGTCATACTCAATGAACTTCGTCTGAATGTATCATCCAGGTACAAGGGATTCAAAACACTGACAAGATTTGGATCTCCCTTCATCAGAGCAGCTTCATAACATGCCATGAAATGAAGCCCGTGCACATAAGCATAAGGTACACAGAGCCGTGCGTAAAAAACAGTATAGCAACATTTTACCCAAATGTTGAGGATTGAAAATCAAAACGAGCTTCACAGGTACTGAATTATCAGAAGATGGATTTACTAATACAAAAACTTATTTTTTTTCCTTCATAATGTGTTTTTCCTAGAAGGTAATGATTATTTGGTAATATATCACCATACGAAATTTGAAAATCCCCTGTAAACTAATAAAGGGAAATAAATTGCGTAAGTAATTAAGCAGGAGGTTCACGTCACAACAGGAAAAAAGAGAGCAAGTAATCAACAAATTCATTTTGAAAAAGTGCAGTTGTTACCTTTTTCTCACAATTACATGTCTCTTTTGAAAGCATGAAAAGGTTGTGCCTAGTTGGGCAGTTTGTCTGTACACATCTTATGCAGATCCAAGACTTTTTTTTTGCGGGGAAGATCCAAGACTTATTAAGCTCACCTGAACTACCCCAAACATGTTTGATATGTGGAGGCATATTGTGAACTTGCAAATTGGAAATCAATAAATATTTGTTCTTAGTTCATTCGGGTGATGCATGTGTGGCATGAAACTAAATAACTAAAGATCTCTACTCCTAAAGGGGAGTTGGTAGTCTGGTACCTCAATTTATTTTCATTTGGGTTTTTTTTGTCTCACCTCCCACCACCATCTATCGCTGTGTTTTTCTCTCTCCTATTAAAAAAACCAACCTGTAATCCTAAAGGGGAGTTGGAAGCCTGGTACCCCGGTTTATTTCCGTTCATTTTTTCCGTCTCACCTCCCACCAGCATCTATCGTGTATTTTTCTCTTTCCTATTAAAAAAACAAATCCTATTAAATGGGAGATCTTGTTTCGTACTTGACAGGTCCTGATCCAATTCAATCACGTAAATAATAGGTTCGAAAATTGCACCATATATGTGACCATCTTCCTAAAAGACGCACATAATATTCTGGACTGAATCGGGTCTTGCTGCTTTTTTCAAGAATTTGCCAAGATAGACAGGACTGCTTCTCATGATTTTGTGGAGAGGCGGGCACTTAGTGTGATCTTCTTTCAGTCACACACGTCTGACACAGAAGTACTAGCACACGAGACTTGTCCTCCTATCTTCTGTACTTCCGAATATCTCATGACGCATACGTATCAAGTCTCATGTACCCTGGTTCTCCCAATATTGTTCCTAGTAGAGTACCCGCGTGGTGCTTCAGGAGAACAAAATATCATTTTAATCAAAAATATCTTTATTATGTTTTGAAGAGGCCAAAACTACACATGTAATTTTTGAACACATTCATGTTCACAGAATTAATTGGGTTTTTAAAGATTACCTAGGGCATCTCCAACCCTGATCCTCAAAGCGGACACTGTATCCGTTCACGGGTCAGTGTGGAACAGTCCACAGCATTGACGCGGGAGGCGGACATCCAACCCTGTCTGCATACATTTCAAAGCGGATTTCAACAAACCGGACGAAATTCATGCAAACCAAATGTTTTTCATATAAACCGAACGAAAACATTTACATTGTGGACATATTTCAACTAAACTATAGTAGATTAAGCTAGGCTATTCTAACATAGTCTTTCGCCAACTGTGGCGGAGCCTGTTCCCCGAGAAATGTCTTCCCCATGTCCGCCAACAAGCTCACCAGACCATCGTCAGTCCCAGAGCTAGATGCTTCATCGGGAGGGGAAGAATAGCCTCTGCCTCCCGAAGGACCGGATCAATGGTTGGTTTTTGGGCTGGGGAAGACAGTCGCATACGCCCCGACGAAGCGGGCAAGTCACCGGTTGTGTAACCCGACAAAAGTCACCGTTTGTGTAACCCGACCAGACGGTGGTGTTGGCCTTCCTGGGACCCAAGCGGCGGCGGTCTCCCATGGTCTACTTTTCCTCACTATCAGCAGCGGCCGTAGACGTGCTGACTTCGTCATCGTGGCAGCGGGGCGCATCCGAGCGGAGTCGGCGACGTCGTCGTTGGTGCCCCAGTCAAATTCCTCCACAGTCACATCAACCTGCACGAACATGCCTTCTTTGTCAGCTTATTGGACGCAGTGCCACCATCGCTCACGCAGATTGGGTGGGTAGAGGCATAGGACGGCCTGGACGGGCTAGGACGGCCCATGGTCATGTCATCCTAGACCAGCGATAGCGGTGATGCCGGCTCTGAAGAGCTTGCCGGCAAGCCAGCCAGTATCCGGCTGGCATGATGGGCCACAGAGTCGGCTGCAAATGCCGAAGAGTTCCTTCTTCTGCTCACCGAAGAGGCTGTCTCACAGGGCTTTGGAGCTTGAGGTCATGCCATGTGTCCTGCAAAGAGGAGATGGAGAGCGGAGGTGTGGTGCGGCTGTTGCTCGACACCTGACCACATTTAAATAGCGGGCGGATGCCAAGGTGAGGTGTTTAATGCCGGCCAGCATGTAGACGGACGTGTGGCGCTCGGGGCCCCAGAGTAGGTTCCTCAACAGGCGCGCCAATTTAACGAGTGTAGGCGGATGGACAGATGATGTTTTAATGCGGAGCGAAGACGCGTGTAACGGGCGAGGCTCTCGGCCAGCGTGTGTTTCAATTCCGGCTTCAGTGAGAGGTTACGTCCGTTCTGGGCTGACATGAATGCAGCACTGATCGCTTCGGACAGGAAAGGGTGCGGTGGAGGGAAAGGATTTTGGGTGGGCCTGTGAGATGCCCCTAGTAAACTGTACTACTATGATGCAATGAAGACTGCATGTGCTTGGGCTGCATGATTGACGTGTACTCCCTCCGTCCGGAAATACTTGTCATCAAAATGAATAAAAGAAGATGTATCTAGATGTATTTTAGTTCTAGATACACCTTTTTTTGTCCATTTTGATGACAAGTTTTTTTGGACGGAGGGAGTACTATGCTACAGTTTTCATGTGCGGGACTGGATAGAAAATATTTCATGACGTGTGCGTATCATTTTTTATGTGTGCATGTTGTGTGCACTGCACTGAATTAACCGTAGCCCATGTGTGCTGTTCAGCCTCTTATAAAAGGATAGAGAATGGGGACTGCGCACTGCACCTATACATTGCAACACTAAAGCTAGCTTTGAGAAGAGAAAAAAGCCAAGAGAAGAAGAAGAAGATGGACAGTGGCGGTTCATCCGGTGGAAACAACCAAGGCAAGAAAAAGGGCAAGAAACGTGTGCTGACCGCTGGTAAGTGAGATCTTTCTTGTTTGATTAAGTTTCTTGCATAACTATGGTTGTATACTACGTACCTGCAATTCTTCGTGAGGAAATATGCTTGATAAGTTTGTGTTCCCTTTTTGTACATTGATTCCCTTTTTCTTTTCCCATATGGTCATGGAATGCATAACTTTGCGCAGATTTAAAGACTAAATATAATACTTGGTCATGTGTACAAGCTTGATTTTTGGTTTTTGGACCTTTTCTTTCTTTTTGAAGAACCGGAAAATAAACCTTTTGAGCTATTCACGTCCCAAGCTCACTTTGTAGTTAACGAGAATTAATATGCTATTCGTGTCCGATAATGCATGGCCTCCTATATAGGAAACGATTTGATCTTCTCTATTCACCAGTTCCTAAAAAATTGTTTGGGCTTGCTAGACATAAATCGTGTCAATATATTTTGCTTGATTACACAAGTTTAATTAGGAGAGGTTAACGATGCATTTGATGTGCATACAAATCTTTCTACCATGCAGAAGAGCTGGAAAACCGGCGGCTTGAGAACGTGCAACCTACCTCTTGGGACGACGAATGTACGTATGGCGCGCCGTGTTTGTTCTCTCTAGGTGCATTTTTCTTAGCTTTGAGTGGACATGCGAATTAATTTTGGTCTGTACTGTGTGCTTCCTGCAGGGATTGTAACACTGAACATCACAGATAATGTGGTGGAGGATGAAGACACTAGCAGCATCGTGAGCAGTTTCTCGACAGACAGCCCCTTCTCGATAGACGCCGAGGAGGAGACTGACAAGGAGGAGGCTGACAATGAGGAGGAGGAGGAGGCTGACAAGGAGGAGGAGGAAGAAGAGGAGGAGGAGGAGGAGGAAAAGGCTGACGGAGACGGTGACAAGAAAAAGGAGGAGAAGGATCAGACTGACGACGATGATGGCGACCAGACTGACGATGGCAATGGCGAGGACCTCAGCTAACTCCAAGCTCTGCTTAAGACAGACTAAATGATTTGCTGGTAATAAGAAGCCTTATGCATCTTCTGGGCAGCTATATTATGTATATCCGAAGCCTTGTTGTGTTAGTATCGGAACCCTGCATGCACGTACGCATGCTTATTTATGTATGTCTGTGTACCACTATGTTTCTGTCTAAAGTATGCGAGTGAAACATTCTAATTTGGGGACATTTTATTTGTCGAGTAAATTATGCGTCGCACACATTCTGTCCTGAATAAACTATCCAAGAGAATTAATAATGATGCTCTGCACTTGCAGAGTAAACATTCTTATTACGAATTTACGATGTATGCCTGTGTTCCACAAACTATTTGATCACATTTGATTCCAACAGACTTGCTGATTTCCAAAGAAACAAACTAGCTTTTCCTTTTTCCAACACGGGCAACCCCTTTCCATTTGCGCTCAACGGAGAATCGCCATCGAAGCTCTCGCTACGGTGTGAAAACCTGACCACCTACAACTACAACAATAGAGTTCAGTGAAGTAGAAAGAACTAGAGACAAAAGGACCACAACGCCTAAAGGAGGAGAAAAAAATACAGCACCGCCTGAGGCAAGCAATACACAAGACCCCTTGACCTTGGTATCCTCGACCTCAATAAGTTCCAGAGGGCGGGGGGTTGCTCGGGCGAAACCCTAGCCGCAGCCACCCACCCGGCAGGCGGCGGGTCCTCGCCTCCTGTCTTCTCCCGCGACGGTAGGCCTCGGCCGAAGCGCGTCCATCGGCCCTGGACGGCAGGCGCAGATGGCGGAGCATGGACGTGGGGTGCTGGACCGGGGTTTTTTCATCAACTATCAAGATAATACAAAGAACACCAGAAATAAAAAATATATCCAGATCCACATACCACCTAGCGAAGATTACAAGCACTGCAGCGAGTGCCGAAGGCGCGCCGCCGTCTTCGCCCCTCCCTCATCGGAGCTGCGCAAATCTAATTGTAGTAGACAACCAGAAAGTCGTCATACCAAGACCTTATAGGACCCACACACCAGAAGAGCAACCGCTACCGATGAAGAAAAGTGTAGGTCGAAAGAATCCAACCTGTAGACACACGAGCTCAGACAAGCTGAGATAGGATCCATGTGGATCAACCGAAGACAAGCACTGACCGAATCCCGTAAGATCCGCTGGAGACAAACCTCCACACGCCCTCCGACGATGCTAGAAACACCATCGGGACGGAAACTAGGCGGTGATAATCTTATTCCATCTTCGGAGATTCAGAAAACTCGTTCTTCCACGAGAAGAAAGAAAATTCGGCAATCCTTTTGACCACAAGATTATTCCAGATGAGTGTATCAAACCATCAAATCTTGTTTAAGAGAAATACAGTCGCAAGCACTTTCATGTTCATCGGTGATTACTATAAGTGGTGATATCTACTACGGACCATGTGCAAGTTATCACTTTATTATTGAACCCACATTGCAAGAAACATTTTCTCATAATTCGATTTATAATGTAGAAGTCAATTTCTATAATTATCAACTATATCTTTTTTATATGAATTATCAACTATATCACTAAGCTTTCTAGGGGTTAATCGCCTATGAAGCCATTGAGGCGCTGTCGAATCGTTCCCTCACATTGATTTTGACCTGGCCGTCGAAATCTCAGGTGCGCTGCGTGGGCTGGCTTGTTCTAAGGGCCCGTGCGCCAGCGATGTAGAGGTATAGGCCCATCCTGTTGGTGAGTGTACATCTTTCCTTGTCAATGTAGCGATGGCGTTTGTCTAAAAAAAACGTAGCGAGGGCGTGGCAGCTGCAGGAGAGGGAATTTCCTAACGGACGCTCTTTCGTCAAGTTGTCGCTGCTCGCACAGAGGCGAGCGACCTGGCAACTGAGATGGGCCGGCCCAATTTTCTAACGTACGCACGAACGCGCTACAGTAGCCTGTTTTGGGAACCTTCTAGAAGGTTCCTGACCGGTTTTCACTGCTTTATTTTTTATTTTTTAACGTTTCTTTTTTCTGTTTATTTTTTTCCTTTTTATTTACATATTTGTTTATTATTTCATTTATTCTATTTCTTGTCTAATTCCTTTTTATTCTGCATTTTTATGTTTCTAATTTTCTTTCAGATTTCAAAATTTGTTTGAAAATTCAAACAAATTCCCTGTTATTATTTTTTTCACAAATTCAGGAATAATTTTGATTTTAAAAAAATGTTCGCATAGTTCAAAAAAATTTCTCCTTTCTAAAAATATTCTTGTTTTAAAATGTCTTCCCAAATAGTACAAAAATGTTCGCAAATTTCAAACAACACTATTTCCTTATTTTATTCATAGTTTCAAAATTTGTTCACATATGCAAAAAAATTCCCCTTTTCATAAAATGTCCATGTTTTCAGAAATTGATCCGTTTTTTCAAAATTTGTTCACCAATTCAAAAAAGTTTCCATTTTTATAATTTTGTTCACAGATTGAAAAATTGTTCACATCTTTAAAACTTGTTCACGATTCTAAAAATAAGTTCCCATTTTTAAAAAAAGTCGACAATTCTAAATTGTTCCTGTTCTCAAAATTTGTTCACAAATTCGAAGATGTTAATTTTTTTTAAAGTGTTCAAAAATTGAAAACATGTTCGCATTTTGTCAAAACTTGATCATTATTGTCAAAAATCGTTGGGATTTAAAAAATATCCTTGTTTTTTCAGTATTTGTTCACAAATTCAAAAAATGTTCATGTTTTTGAAAAAAAATCACTATTCAGAAACTTGTTCACATTTTCAGAAAGAATAGTTTTTATCAAAAATTGTTCGTAATTAAAAAATGTTCATGTTTTTCAATATTCTTCCACAACTTCAAAATTGTTCATGTTTTCAAATTTGGTTGCAAATTCAAAAAATAGCTAACTTTTTTAAAACTTGTGTGGGTTCTGTAAAAAAACGTTCGTACTTGTCAAAAATGTAATCAAAATTTACAAGAAAATATTGGAAAAAAGAAAAATAATCCAATCTGCCGGTGTGACTGGGTCTAAAGTGTTCACATTGCCTAAAAACAGTTTCATTGCTTAAAAAATCAAATCTTGGAGGGGGGCTGTTATGGAGGGATTTGTTGTGCGCGGGTGGTTTCGCTACTGCTTCCTAGAGCGGGGACGAGGGTTTCACTGCGTGTTGCTGGAGGAGAGGTCGAGGGGTTCGTTGCGGTTTGCTGGAGCGGCTGGCGGTGTGGGCGAGGCTGCTTCCGGCGGCGCTTTTTCGTCCAGGGGCTTGCCGCTGCTGTTGTAGCCCACGCCATTGGAGGAGAGCTCTTGCTTCCTCGGCTGTTTCGGCGAACATACGCAATGGCCATGTAAGTTTATTTCCCGTAACGTACTCTTGCTTTGTTTCTGTTGGGCGGTGTTCTTGTGGTGGTGCTTTGCCGTCGGTGTCGTCCGATTTGGCTTTTTGGTTGCTAGGGCTCCAAGAGTTATGCAACCAGCGTCCTCGCATTCTAAAAATCGTTGCGCCTCCTATCTGCAGAGTTGGGCTTAATTGGGGGGCTTTGTGTGGTCTTCGCGTGCAGAGGGGGGCAATTGGGGGAAGTAGTGAAACCATGCATCTGCGGTCACTTGAGAAGAGGCAACTTGGGGTTGCTCTGTCGCCACTCTGTCCGCATCTTTGATGCGTCCCTTCTTGCTTCCCCTCGTCGGTTAGGATAGAGGAGATCAAATTTACCCAAGTTTGAAGAAAGTTCATGTTGGTTTCTTCTTTTTCTTGTTCTGAGATTGTTGCTCTTGTTTGATTGTTCTGTGCCGTACCTAAATCAAACTTTACAATTAGCATATAATCTAATGGACCATATTCTTGATTGGGGATTGTATCTAAAGGACTAGGAATGCTTCTGTTATATTTGTGGTCTGGTACTACTCTTGAGCTGGTGCATGACAAGTGCTTCTTTCTTTTTATCCTTCCATTTATTTGTTGTTTGGAAAGAGGAGGTTCATATTATTCTATATGACCCCTTCTTGAAATTTACAAGTAGCATGCTGCATTGATGGCTATTTGCTGCAATAATTAAAGGGACTATGCATGTTTTTAGAGCTACTATGATTTCCCTGTCCAAATAGGGATGTATTTTGGTTTGCTTAATTATGAGGTTAATTATCATTTTGCCCTCAGTGGTGTCCATGTGCTCAGTTTTGCCCTCAGATGCGAATTGTGCTCAGTTTTGCCCCTAGTCCATGCACAGCTACTATGACGAGGCCAAACGGTCATATTTGAATCCATTCTGTCTGCCGACGTTAGTGGTTGTGGGTTCGGAGCTTACACGTGGGATCGCGTGGACGTGGGTCCGGAGTTGACATGTAGGCCCGTGCAACTAAATCCCCAAATCATTCATAGGATTCTAGCTCACTCTGCCCATCCGCCGGCCGACCGTCCTACGCTGCAGCCAGCACCTGCCCCGCCACCAGCTGCACGGCCTGCTCCGCCGCTACCGCCTGCGCCAATGCTCCACCGCTACCTGCGACGCCTGCCACCTTCCTGCGATGCCACAGGTGGGGCACCCACCACCTGCTCGACCTGCGGCGCGGCCTCCTTCCGTGCGCCCGGCCGGAGCGCTCAAAGGTGGGGGCTGCTGGAGCTGTTTGAACTAGGAGGAAGAACCCCAGGGCGAAAACGGCGAGCAGCGGTGACCCCAGAGTATTTGGCGAGGCAAGCATCGGGCCGGAGATCCACCGCGTCCACGACTGGGTTCCCGAGGGGTAAGTCACGCATCCTGTTTTGATTGAGCTTATTGTGCATTTGAAAAGTTGATTCGAGTAGGTTTGCCCAATTAGTGTGCTGATTGCGTCTCTGTTTTTCGTCGGTTATGATGGAGTTGTGGTTTGCTTTCTTGGTGCACATTAGAAGGGACCGATACATGTTCGATGTGAAGGATAAGAAGAAATACCAAGGAGGTTTCGATTATCGGTTGCCAATGGCTAGTAATTGGAGTTTCAGACAATTTGGGGAGGTAATTTGTAGCCAATATCCTTGGG